AATCGACCGCGTAACGGGTTGGATGCGCATTTCAGCTTCATTGTACATGTTCACTTATTGGACGTATCCGGTACATAGAAACGTGAAACGTCTTAAGTGCATTGGACCAACAATAAACGCGAGTCTGTGCCTTAGAAATAATGAGATGCATAAAGGTTTTAGAAAAATCTCGACGACTTGCAAGTTGCTTAGACTCGTCACTCATTGTTTGCAAAATTAATAAAGAATTATAATACAAAAAAATTACAAACAAAATCATTTTTAAAATAAATTTTTACAAATATTTTTATTTTTATCTTCTTTAGGAATAAATGGGTAAATTTTTTAAAAAACCCTAAGAGCTAAAATGGTACATTAAGGAAAAATTATTTAAAACTTTAAAAATTATTTATAATTTAAATTTTTTTATTATATTTAAATAAATTATAATTTTTTGATCTTATAAACACTAAAAAATTAATTTTTTGATTTTGCTGGAATGGAAATTTGAATGTTCAACCAACTCAAGTGTAATACATATTTCTAGTGGTCAGTTTTTTTAACTGCTATAAATGGTGTCGGATCATGTACCGCAAGAGAGTGAGAGGATTGCATGTGCGTGGTTAATTAATGAGCGATGCACATGCGGAGGCTGTGATCGCACTTGCAAGGAAGACGATTATGCTGGTCAGTCGTCTCTCTGCTCTTCTTTTGAGGTCTGCTTAGTGTGTCAAGAGCTTCTTTTAAAACGTGTTAATCAATGACAATTTGATGACACCTGGTGATTTCCCTTCGCCTACCAGCATGTACTTATAAAAGTAATTACACAAGAAGTGCAGTTACCTCATTTTTTTAATATTTCCGAACCGGCCACAACTTTCATCAGGATTTTATCTGATTTTGAGAGCAAAAATTTGAATTTTGAAGAAATTTTACCTAGCAATTTTTTGTTGAAAAAAGTGCGAAATGGTCAACAAAAAGTGAATTCTAAAACCGGAAGACCGTCAGTTTTTTACAGTTTGGCGTAATTTTCCATCCTCTTGTTCGCCGACAGCAAAGAGTGAAATCGGCAGCGGCAAATTGAGCAAATAACACATTTGAAAATCAACGCCAATTTGCGCGCGAGGCGTGAAGTCCGAGCATAATAATCGCTTTATTGATTACGTGGTGCGCGTTCGTGGTCAGCATTTTTCTGTACGACAGATGCGAGTGTGTGCGGAAAAAAATGCTCGAAATTCCCGAGTAAATAATCAACACACTCGACAAAAATGCAGCAGCAGGAGGTATCGCGCTCGATGGGTGGGTGGCAGCCGCGATGGAGCCGCGCACAGTCGTTGACCCTGATTGCGCCGCGTGTGTTTGCCCTGCAGAGAGTGCGGACAATAAAAATAAAAATACACGCAGAATTCGTTGAGATTGCACTCGAGCTGTTTTCGCAAAATGAAAGATGCAGTAAACTTGTTCAGCATAAATGAATAATCTCATTAAACGCCGTATTTTGCATTCCGGTTTGGATTTATTACAATTCTTGTTTTAATGAGGTTGTCTGGAGGCGAAATAGTAAAAATATTTTCTGCTTGAGTATTTGATTAAATTACATTAAATATAATGTTGCTCTTTTCATTTAGAACACTATTTAAGCCATGCAAGTAAAAATGCCATTATTTTATAAATTTCTTATGTCTCAAAATAAAAAAATAAAAAATTTGTTTTGTCTCTGGGAAAGGTTTTCAAAGATCTCACGTCGCACTCATTAGGTGTAGTGATTTACAGTGTTTGCTCCGACACATGTTTTTTTTCCATTCAGTTTCTAAAACATTCGCACGTCGGAATGAAATCAGCTCCAGGCTGGCGTTTTAATAAATGTTCTGCCACTTTTGTACTTGTGTACTTGTCAAACAAATCCCAACATTTGTGAAGCTTATAAAAAAAGGGAATCTTTGCCTCTCTTTTTTTTACCCATAAGTCGCGATGTATTAATTGACACAGAGGAATGAATGCGAGAGACTCGTTTTTGAGACAATGAACTTGCGCTCTTATACTGGACGGCCGTCTGCATTACGGGCGAGTTTTTCACTCGTCGCAATTTGATGCAGGCGGTGTTTGCCGTTCCTCTGCGTCTCAATTCGCCAAGCAAACAAAACAAATGTCAGGTGCATTATTATATTTTACTGCTCTTTCACAAAATTAATGCTTTTTGTCGCAATTAGTTTTTAAACGGTGTATGCTTTGCAGTTTTAATTTTATTTGTGTGCCACTGACTTGCAGAAAAAGAGACCGAGAGACACTTGCGCGAATTTTTATTACGCCAAAATTTTCATGAATAATGGAACTCGGAAATGCCTTGTTCTTAATTGCAGCTAAACCTTTTATCTAGGTAAAGTGAAATGTATGCCTTTTTTATGAAGACAATCACTTTTTTTTTATCATTTTCTGCAATTTTACGAGCATGTGCTGGGTTATTTATTGTGAAAAAAAAATCACGAAATGATACTTGATCAATTTAATTATATCTAATTAAATCAATATTTTATCTCCTTATTAGATTTTTTAATTCCGAAAATAGGTTTGAGGATTATTTTGAATAATAAAATATCTCTAAAACATAAAATATCATTTTACTGAGGAGAAATTCTTAGATCTGCTCGTAATTATCTAATAATTAAGCTGTGCTGGAAGTCACGATAAAATATATAGGCAATTCTCTTTCTTGCTCACGGGTATAATTGCGAGCGTGAATGCACTTCCGTGCATCTATTAACTTTTCTCACTTCTGCATAAAGAGGAAAAGCAAAAAGAGACGCTACTACTAGCCTAGTTTCCACTGCGTGCAATTAATTTGCCTTCTTCGATGCATATAATAGTAAAACACCGTCTAATAGGCGACTGCACGACTGCATTCATCCCGATCGCTCTGGCCTGATTTGGGGAACGGCGCCGAAATCGCGTTTGTTCCGCCTGATTTTCCGAGAGCATGCAAATCGCGCGCGCAGATGTTACAAAGCAGCCGCTGCTTTGTGTGCTCGTGCACGAGGAGAATAAGACGCCTTTTTCACACGTAACACTCAGAATTACACAGCCGCTTATTACCCTATTCTACTTTGCTTATCTCTCGACGCTCGGAACTCGGAGAGCCGCTCGCGCATTATTTCGTAATCGCGATGCTCTGCATACAGTAATACTTTTTTGTATTCGTCTTAATATGCGCTTCGAATCTATTTTTCGTGATGGGCCCGTTTTCGCTTCTCACAAAAGTGCCACGATCCGCTCGAGGAAGTTGTTTCATTTTTTTGAAATCTATTTGTGTAAACTCGAACAAGCAAGCGGTGTCGAGAACTACAAACATTTCTGACAGTTTAATTGCCAGGGAATCTCCATGTTAAACATCAAAATTCTCTGTAACTTGGCTGCTGTGTATAATTAATGTTCAACACTTTGCTGTCTGAATCAGTTCTGAATGAATTAAATTAAAACGTGTGAAAGCAAAGTTGCACAAGTGATTTTAAAATGGAAAAAATTAAAAGATTTTGTTAAATTTAAAATTTATTATTTTATTCCAATTCAAAGATAAATCTTGCAATATTATTAAAAAAATAACGACCTACATAATTTTTATTAAAATCATAAATAATGTTAGAAAACTTTTCCTAGATTGAAGATTGAACCCAAGCAGAACAATTAGTCATGCAGCAAACAGAGGATAACATTTAAGAATGCGCACAAATTTTTGCCACTGAACCGTAAAACCAAATGTCGTGGAAATATGTCAATGATCAGCACAATTCCATCTCTTTCAAATTGTACATCCCACCTTTGTAGCTCTTCTTGGTTTTCTCTTTTGTGAGAAGTCGTAGGGATTTTATTAAAGACAAAAACCACATTACAAATTATTGCTTGAGAAACACCTGCGAGTGAACGTAACCTTGCACTCGTTGTCGGCGAAGTAGCAAAAATAAAAGATTTGCAATTACTTCCGGCGTGTGAAAGCTTTTGGCGAAAAGGACACAAACAACCGCGATTTCATAGACTATAGAATTGGTTCCCAAAATGATTTTGTGTCGATTCTGTGAAGACAATGCACCCATTTCTCATCTTTTCGGGTTCGCAACTTGAAAAGGGAAAAAAGTTTGGGCGCTTCCGCCACGCTCTTCAATCAAATACTTTTTGTTTTGCTCCGGGATTCGTCAAATTTTGTTTTGATATACTATGATGCGTCGCGGACGTGATGATGACGCTCAAATGTCCAGTTAGCGATCAATTTTTTGCTCTGTACCACCGCCGTAAATTATCAAGTTTGCGAAAGTTTCCCATAACGACACATTATAAATTATATCTACCTAAGTCTCTTGATGTGCCGGCGTAGTTTGAGTGCAAGTGAAAAAAATTCTAATATTTTTTGTCATTTTTCTGTCTAGAAACATTTTTTCTTGGTTACTTTTCTGAAGATCGTATTTAAAAAAGGCCTGATTTATTTGACGATAACTTTTCTGCAATAAGCATTTTTGTATGGCGAGTCCAAAGAAACATGATAATACAAATTGAATTCAATAGAATTGCATTTTTGAAAATAAATGTAATTTTTTTATGTCTAATTCTAACATCTGACAGATTAAAACTGATATAAGTTTTATTAAACTTCGTTTGAAGTTTGAAAAATAAAATCAATAGGTAGGACGCTTGACACAAAAATAAATAAATAAACACAAGTCGATATTTTAAATTGAAAAAAAAAAATTAGAACATATTAGTTTGGTTAAAATGATTTTCTCTGCATTGCGGTATGAAATAATTTTTTTTTATCACTAATTATACACCTTTCTGTTCAGGACAATTTCTTTATCTGGAGCACAATAATGCAATGGCTCGTGAAAAGTGTGATTTCACTCGAAATAAAATGTAATAACTGGAGATGTGTGAGGCCGCTTTAGCCGGTGCGGATCCGCGCTCGCGGCCAGTGGCTTTGCCGTGCGTCTTGAGCCGGAGGAGGGAGGAGGCCTGGCGGTCCAACGAAGCTATAAAGTGCACTCGGCGCAGCGGCTGCAGACACTTTACCACGGAAGCACACGCAAAGATGATGTCCCTGAGGGTCGCCCTGCTGCTGAGCCTGGTGCTCGGCCAAACACTCGCCTTTTGGGGCTCCGACGAGAACAAGTACATCAAGAAGTTCGCCATGATGAAGGTGAGTGTCTCAATTAACTCTGTGACTAATTGCCGCATTTTTTGGTAATTATTGGAAGGATTATAATTTTAATCGGTGTCTTTTGTTGCGTCCATCATCAAGTTACTCTTGATGAGACTCGTGAATTTCTCTGAAGTAAAATTTTCTTAATGTTTTATACCAATGTTTTTGAGAAATTTGATTTAATTCAAATTGTAGTCAATTTTTAATTAACATCATGAAAAATAAATTAAGTTTTGGGTCATTTTATGAAATAGCAATTTTTCCAAACAAGGGAATTTTTACAATTTTAACTCATTTTTTACTTATTCATGCAATAATTATTAAACACGCACATTTTCAAGTGTACTTTATGATGATTGCATTCTGAATGAAACACACTTTTCGTGTTCAATGACCTCGTAAACGCACACAAATAACAACGCATCATTCATCTCTCAAGTATTCCTCTGACTAGAGGTGAGTGTGCAATTTCCACCTTTTGTTTTTGCCCACTTTTTGCTCTTTTCCTCTTCGAGTGTGGCGCTTTAAAAAAATCTCGATAGCCTAGTTTCCTCGTTATGAAATGACTAACTGTACATGAAACAATAGCTCACTGAGCACCAAACACACAATTATTATCAATCTCCTGCCGGCCAGTATTGCTCCTGCACTCTCGACGTCAATTTTATCTCCGGAGCAAAATTGCAGTATGAATCAAGCTTAATAACAAGTTACGCGCCCAAATTTTTTGCTGCATTAACTTTTTGTTTCTCTCATTCTGCCGCATTATGATTGCGGAGCAAAAACTTTACCGCTTTTTGGAATTTAATCATCCAATGGAATTTTTTTTCATTACCTGAGATTTCGCTATTAGAATAAACACTTATAAACAGAAGTTTTTTGAAAAATATAATTCAAAAATTTCAAATTTGTGCTTTTTTTGTACTTGCGGCAACTTCAAAGTGTTGTCGGGGAGATTTACTTGACAAGAATTGCGGTTTTATTTCAATCAACGTTCACCCACCGCAAAAAGTGTCATATTGTCACAAAGTGCTAATGGCAGAGAACAAAGGAGGGTCTTGGCAGTGTCAGGGTAATGGCCAGAAGGTCAAGAAAGGTGCGGGTGCTCCATGCGTGCGTGGGTCTCGAGAATCCCGCAGACACGAGTTGAACGCTCGAAACCTGCGGGCAATTTGCTTTTAGACGCACCGCAAGATAATGTCTTTTTTCCAGCCGCAACCGAAAACACTTACACTTATTCTGATTATGATGTAAAAAAGGCACCACACGGGGGAGTGCAATTTTGCAGGCAGCCGTCCTCACGCTTTCCGAGGAGAGAAATGAAAATTTCGACCGCAGACTGAAAACGAAATCGACACCAATTGCTAATGTCGCTCCCGCAAAATCGTGATTTTTTAATGTAAGGAATGTTCCTTTTTGAGAGACGTCAAATTTAGTTATCAACTTCAGTATTTTTAAGGTCATATAAATTATTTTTCGTTGCAGCTAAATTGAGACAATATGCTTTTAGCAGTAAAAGAAATCGCGTGCAAAAACAAAGAGTTCCGTTCTTTCCCAATTCAATCGTCCGAATACTACAACTGAAGAGCCGTTTTCTATTTTGTACTTCAATTTTCCATGTCCGGCTCTAATGAATCGAAGACTCTCGAGTCACTTGATTCGGCAAAAAGAATGCGCATTAAAAAGATTTCTGGTTGAAATCACTTGGTGTGTAATAGGAAGGTTAGACAGTCGTGTGCGATGCGGTGGAAAGACCTGTCAGTTAGTATTAATGAATAAAAAGTAAAAAGAGACAAATGAGAGGAAAAACCAGCGGGACGAATTATTCAAATACGAGTTTTTTCAGTGCTCCTGCTGTGATCAAACAATTTTTTATTAGCATAATGTAATATTTTATAATTATAAACTCAAATGATATAATTAATATAAGAATGAAAAGAGTTGTTCATTATTCAGATTTTTTTTTTAAATTTATTTTCATATTTTAATTCCTTTTAAATTAAAATTAATTGAATTAATCTATTTTTTCATATTATTTTAATAATTTCTATAGTTGTTGGTTAAATTTTGTAGTTTAAAATTTTTATAAAAATCATATTTATAACTGGCAGCTGAACTTAATTTTCTTTCTTATCCTTTTTGTATCTTTTACCACTTCACTCTTCACTAGTGTTTTAACAAATAACCGCATCAGTAAAAACTGCAAAGAAACTTTCCTCCTGAGTGCTCCAGAAATGAAGAAATTAAAAGCAATTTAATCATTACGTGCTCGCTCGATGCATTCACACTTCGTTTTTTTCGCCGCCGGGTCGACTCTCGCATGTCCCGTAATCCACTTCTTGATTGATTTACCAGCATTTTTGCGCCCAGTTTCTTTGACAATAAGGCATAATCCAATCTCTCTCGCGTGCTGACCGACCGACACCGATCACACAGAAATCAATCGGCGCGAAATCGGGGTCAAGTGAAAAATTCAACATTCATACGCCGGTAGTGGTGAATCTTCGGCAATGCGGCTCGCGTCTATTACGCTCGATTTCAAAGAAAACCTCAAAGGAGGATGTGTTAAAATAGGCGTCGTTTGACGGCGTTGCGTGAAGAACCATGGAGGACATTGAGGCCAACAAATGGTGCAGAATGAATGCGACTTTGAAAGACTCAATTCCGCTCCCATGTCACTCACGCCGCAAAAAAAAAAAAAAAAATAATAAGAAAAGCGAAGCCAAGATAATGCTTGGAGCGTTTAACTGATGAAAGGGCCTTTTGCAAATTGTATCTCTCAAAATGATAAAATTGCATATGCAGGACAAAAGCTTTCATGATACAGATGAGCATTTAAGAATTTCCACTAATTTAATAAGTTTTTTTAAATTGAATGTAATATTGATTTTGATTTTAATATATATTTAAAGTAATTCCTTAAATTTATATAGTTTATTGGATTTTTAAATTTAATTCATATTTTAATGTTTAGTAAATAAATATTTTTAATGGAAAGTTTGGCTAAAGCGTTTGTTAATATTTAACTTCTTCAAATATTATTTAAAAATACATTTTATATTTAATTACAAATCGGTAACTTTTACAAATGAAAAATATTTTTAAAAAAAAATTTGTTTTTTTATCTGTTTCTCCGACTTTCTAGATGAAAAACTTCAATCTACTTTATTATTACTAGATTAAGTATCAATAACTACAATTAAATAATAAGCTTTTTGACCATCTAATAAAGATTGTTGGAATAAGCGTTTATTAGAATTTTAAAATATTATCACTGCTTATTATTTATTTCAATATTTGAATTCATTTGGATTTTCTTTTCAATTTAATTTTGTCGAAGCTTCACAGCAAAAAACCAACTTCTAAGAAATCGCTTTGTGCATGATAATCTGTGCAGCAAAAAAGGCATATTCATAACATGCACTTTGCATCTCAATTCCACTCATGCAGATGGTACACAATCAAATTTATGGCCGTTTTATGCAAAGTGCATCGGATGCATGCGAGCAGGATACACGCGGACGTCTCTCTCATTGCAACGTTATAATCTCGATTTATAAGGGAAGACGATGTTTAAAATGCAAACCAGAACACACGTCTCGCTCGTCAAATCGCTCATTACTCTAATAGCGGCTGTTGCATGCCTAAACAAGAGTGACATCTTTATTGCCCATGGCACATATATTTTCCGCGAGAACCGCTTACATGTCAGCAGCAAATTAATTCTGTACCGCTAAAATTCTCACAAGTCTGATTGTTGCGTCACTGTTTTATCTAAACCGATGCTAATTTGCACATTCCTAGTAGCGGTTTTATATAATATTGGAGGAAAAGACTTAAAAAAATAAGTGGCTTTTATCATTAAATTTGATTTCCCACGCGTAATTCTCATCTTATCTAATAATTTTAATAATGTTCAAAGTGAACATTTTTGCTCGCAAAAAGTTTCAATGTGCCAGTCAAGCAGAAAACTGGACCTTTTTGCAGGTGCCAATTAATAAACAGCTTTTTAACATGCGATTAATTGTCTCAGTCAAATTTTATTGCTTTATTATTTGGGGCACGACGCCGACGCGATAGCAAAAAATCGTGCCGCTGCTTCCTCTTCATTATAATTTTTCTCGATTGCGATTCGGCGGCGGCGCTAAATCAGAAAACAGATAGAATCTACGGTTGTTGATAAACACGGTCATAATTCATGGACAAAAAAGATAGAGAGGGCCGGGCATGGAAATATAATGCAGAGTTCATTTCACGCGTGTGTTTTCTGGCGAAGATAATAATGAAGGATAACAAGAGGAAAGAAAGAAAGTAGAGACCCATGAAATCTACAAGGGCAAAGAAGCATGACGCGTTCAAAAGTAGCTCTATTGGATTTTTTAATAATTACAATAGCAGACAGTTAAAAAAATATAGTTTTTTTTATTCAAATAATTAAATTTAAAAATTTCTTTGCAATTTAATGCAACAAAGAGCACCTTAAGATTATAAATCTTCTCTCCGATTCGTCTAGGAAAAATTAATTCAAAATAAACAATTTTTGTACTTAAAAAATTGCCGGTAAAAAGTATAGTTCCTTCTTTTATCAAAAGCCAATTATTTTTTGCACACAATAATGAAATCCTTTTTAAGTACAAGTTGCGTATGAAACATAATCCGGTCGGCCGATGATGATACGAAGCGTGCGATAAGCGCACTCCATTATTATTTTAATAACATCGGCGCCGAGTCTGCCTTGCTCGCATCTCTCGACGTGCAGTGTGCCCATTCCGGAATTAGGTTCACACACGCCTGTCTTCTTATTCTTCCCAAACATATTAGCATTTTTAGTATTCAAACAAGAAGGTTACAAAGAAAGGGATTTTGCATGCAGATTTTCCCACAATGATCAGAGTTGAGAGTGACTGCGAGTGTGCTCTATTGTAAAAGATGAAACATATATTATGCTTATTTTCAGCCCTATTTATTTAATTTTTAATTAATATACGGTCAATTGAAAATAAAATGACGCTAGTAAAATCAATATAGGAAGGCTAAAGGAAGATTAAAAAGTAAAATTCTTAATAAGATATTAGGTGGAAGGTGATTTTTTTTAAATATTTTTGTTAGTAAAAAAGTGTATAAATAGCGAAAAATCCCTTCTTTATTTTTTTTACAATTTTCTCAAGGTATGGAAGTCAGCTTGACTCGCTAACAACTTAATTGTTTTTCCTATTTAAAATCAAATAAACCGCGAGTATGTGTTGCCTTTTTGTTTGTTGGCTTGGTTAGCAGAAAAAATTTAAATTTTAACTGCAATTTAATTACATTTTTGTTTGGGTCAGGAGTTTAGAATGCAGTACTGTTTTTCTATTGTATAATATTTTTTTACGCATTAATTACACAAAGTTAAAAAAGCAGAGGAAACTCATAATGATGCAAAAAAATTGTTTCTCTTTACGGAACGGAACAAAACAAAGTCGGAAAGATATGGTGCGTAATTTAATTAGCATCATAACGTTTTTCTAATGAAAACGTTTTCGGGAGAATTTCTCATAATCTTTCTTCCTGCTAATTCTTCTTCTCCGGTGGTATATTTGTTTCTCTGGTGATTTCACACGCTCGACGAATTATTCTGTCGCATGTCTTTCTCTTTTGTTATCAAACGACAGCGCTGCAGGTAGCGAGAAAAAATAAATTGAATTTACTGCTTGAAAAGATCTTCTCATTTGCGCGTGGGATGCTCCAGTGCGTTTCCGACTCCCGGAAATAATGCGAACAAGCAATCGAATAAATTTGGAGAGAGGAGCAACGCGTGTGTCCTTGGCAGATTAATCTCTGTATTAAATTTACTGTTACTCATCTTTCAATGCATCTTCCCGTCTGAAACTCGTGTTTTGTGCGATTGGCGTGTATAATTACGGGCGAAAAGTGCGAACGGAAAGTTCACGAAAACCAGCTCGCTGCTGTCGATAATGGCAATTGTTTGCTCGCCAATTACGCTTTGTTGGCTGAATTAGCTTAATTGGCGCATCGGCCATTAATTCTGCTAAATAATCACCCTGCACGAAACGGGATTCCGCTTCAAGTCAGCAGCAATTCCTCGAGGAATCACGCGCAGATGCAATATTATTATTTGATAATTATTGTTTGACGTAATTTAATAGCTTTCGATGCGAGATAAACAACGCTCATTGTTAAGCAAATTATGGGGTATAAGTAGCAAATTATGAGCTCGCGTCCATTTATAAACAAATGTAAACATAAAAAAATTTTCAACAACAAATTATTTCACTATCATTTAACAAAGATTCAAAGAAAAAAGTAAAAAAGTTAAATAATTTAGATTCCTGATTTCAATGTTTTTCAATAAATTTATATTGAATTTAAATTTATTTCTCAAATTTCTAAACATATAAATTTCAAGCAAATTATTAACAGGCATAATTTAATTAGGAAGAACATTTCAACCCTTATTTAATAAGAACTTTTGCGGAGTTTTGCATGAAAGTTGGTTTGATCCATAGTCGTATTAAAGAAAATTTTATTGGTGTTAATTTGCTGCTGGATTACATTAAAAATTTCGCTTTCAAAAATTTCCATTTCAAACACAGATGTGCGCATTCTGCGAAAAGTAGCTCTTTGTGAGTCCGCGTGCCAAACAGATCCTTTTCTTAATTCAGTTCGCCATCCCGCACGACAGGAGCAATGACTCCTGTTCGCGATCAGCGGCGCAGTGTCCGCGCCGCCGAATAATAGCACTTCTTCTTCTTTTTTCGTTTGCGGAAATGACAGACGGTGTGCTCGCATGCTGGTGTCCGTCCGATTGTTGTTTGCAGTGAAAAGTGAAGATTGAAAGCGAACACACAATACACCGCTGGCCAGCGGAATGGAAATGTATTTGCGCTTTTTTCACTCTCGGCGCACTTTGTGTTCGGCCCGGCGAAAATGAAGAAAAGAAACAGCAGCATCAGGTGCGCGCAATGCACAACAACAGTTGCGATGAAAAGAGGAAAACGAGAGGCATAAATAAATCGACACTGCCACTTTCCGAGAGTGAATCGCGCTTTTTTGTCCACTTTTTCGGCTTGATTTTGCTTTTGGAGAATAATCGTAAATAATCCGGGATTATTACTGCGTGACTCGGCAGCTCTCACTGATTTGATATTTCCCAAATGAAAGAAAGAGTTCAATTAGTGTTTTGTCCGCAACTCCATTTTCGGTCATACGTATATAATTTTTTATAAATTTTACCAAAAACAAAAAGACACCTTAATTGCCTCTCACTACTTAATACGTTCTTCACTAATGCGAGAATCATTATTTTTTGTGTGCCTTCAGGTGTACGAAAGTTGTTTTGGAGATGACGTGGTGCGAGAGGTCCGTGAGGAGATGAGGGCTGCGGCGGCCAGGTGTGCGGCCGCTGCTGGGGAAGGCGGCCCTCCCGGGCCCAGCAACACCCACGCCGTGTTCGAGCACCTGGAGAACACGGTGCCCCAGACGACGAGGGCGCCAACCACGACGACCAGCACGACGACCACCACAACTCCTTTCCCTGAAACCACAACTGCTCCACCGAGCTCCACGAGAAGGCCATTCAACCCGATCGGGACCAGCAACATGGGCTCGGAAACTTTGCTCCGGCTGCAGGCACTTTTGCAAGGGCTCAAAAGCGTGAGTACTTTTTGGTTTATTTGATCGGTTTTGCTTTTAGGTAGAGGAACAAATTGCTTTGTTTGGTTGAAATTTAACTATTTTAGTTTATAATTAAATATACCTTGCTAACCTTGCAAATTTTATTTTTTATAGCTTTTAAAAGTTTCTGCTCAATTATTAGTAAATTATTTAATTAAATGGTTTAAAAAAATATTATTATGTAATTAAAACCAATTTCAGGTATAAATAAATTTTATTTTTTACTATAATTTTTTATATTTTTTATATATTAGTTAATATTATTTATTTCCTTTTAATTTTTTAAATTTTATTTTCAATATAAAACAAGGTAAATTGTATGAGGCTTGTACTTCTTTTCAAAGACTACATTGTTTTTTTATTGTAGTCATGTCTCAACTTATCGGTATCTCCAGAGAAATTCATGAAACAGGTACTTTTTTAATTCGCACACATGCGTGAAAAGCAAATTTAATTTGATAATTTTAATAATGTTTTTATCGAAGTAAAAAACTTCTTTTGGTAAAAACTATGATTTAAACTTAATAATTATAAATATTTTTATTTTTACTGTAATTTTTAATTTTTATCCAATTTTTTATATTTTTTGTTGTTTATATATTTATTTTCATATAATTTTATTAATGTTATTATTTTATATAAATTTGAAGGTAAATTATATGATTTATATATTTTCTTATAAAAGACATGTATTCACATGTATTTTCTGACTTACAATTAGCTCTTAACTTATCATTATTTGCAGAAAATTGAAGTAAAAAGCACATTTTTTAAATCGCAAACGCGCGTGAGAAGAGAATTTGCATTCATTTCTCTCCGTCACCAGACGTGATGTTATCCGAGGATGACTTGTCGCAAATTAAGACATGCAGATCAGCACTTCTTTAACGGACGATTAGCCCACTTTTCATAAAAATAACGTGCCGGTGCAAAACGTTCTCCCGACTGTCGCAAATTTAATCTGGCGAGAAAATCCTCTTTTTGTCTCTCACATGCGTCGTACGAGGAAAAACGGCGACCGCGACCAAGAGCGTGGGTGATTAGCTTTGCTCCACTAAAACACAGACTAACTCCCATTGTTGCCTGTTGTGATGTGGGAGAAATGGCATTATTCACGCACAGCGGCCGCTTTTTCACTTGTTTTGATCGCCCGCCGTTTTCCATGGAAATAATGGACCACAGCTTAATCGGGGGCCACTTTGGAATGCATTTGTCTTCCACGCACCGCCGGTTTGCTGGTTTTACGCACCAGAATCGATCAACATTTTAAATCGACCTGCTTTATTTGAAAAATACTCCGATAATAAATAATAATTATATTTCACTAGAAGAGAGGTCACTCCTCTGAAAATCTGTACCGTTAATGGAGATGTAATTCTTGACATTTTACTCGGAAAAGTTTAGCCATTCGATTATTTCTCTTCTCGGCGACAAAATTGCATTCCGTTTCCGTGAATTGCAAAAAACGACCGTGAAATTGGCAACTCAATCTCGTCGGAATTCAATGCCTCTTTGAATCGATCTAAATTGCTTGTTAGCATGCAGATAATGAAAGGGAGTTGAACGCACACAATGCATCAGATAGCGAGAGAGAATTGTGGTTTGACGTGATTTCTTCCACCGCGCCGGTTTTGTTTGTCGCTTTCCGCTTATTTCAAAGTCACCGGTCGCTATTTTCACTCGAAGCAACTGTATTTTCTGTTGGGTAATGAGAAGCTGGTTAATTAAAGGGTTCATAGCTTCTGTGCCCTCCGACAAGATTACAAAAAACTTGTATTCTTTTCCTGTGCTTTACCACAAGTAATGACATTTTTATGATGCAAAAAGAAATAATTACTATAATTATTGCTAATTACAAAATCTTGATCAACTTTATGAAATTAATCGTGATTTTTTTTATACAAGTTAATTGAAATAATTTTTGATTATGGTTGTTTATTGTTATTTGGGAGAATTAGGAATTGAGACCGGATGTAATTTGCTGCGTGATCGAAAAAGTGCGTTTTTCCCACGTGGCTCAGCCAGTGGAGTTGATCGGCCGCATGCAGTTTTGGGCGAGATTTGTTTTAAATCAAATTAAGGCCATCCAGCGTGTAGGCCTAGCGCTTCCGAGAGTGGCCCGCTGAGAGAATCTTGAATGGGACGGAGACTTAAACGCACGAGTAAGCGTGAAATTATTATTTCACACGGCCATAGTTTTGCTACTGTTCCTTCGCCGCAAAGGCCCCGCTGCGTTCGCGTATTTGTTTATCGGCGGCACCTAATTGTCCGAATGCACGAATCGCACGCAGATGGCTTTGTTTGATTGAGAAGAAAAGACAAACCGCACAAGCTGCTGAGCTTTACGCCCGTACACACAAATAAAGAACGTGTGTGTTTGATTTCGGGAAGAAAAACAAGGAAAATACAGCTCGTTTGTCGGCGATTTGCGGTGGCCACAAAGAAAACAATAAGCACACCGTTTTTATACGTTTTTTTCTTAGGCACAAAAATTTGATTGGGAGGTTTAATATTTGAAGTTGTTATTAGGAAAATATCGCAGAAACTTTTAAAGCATAAAAATTTTGAGATGTTTTATTTATTTTCAGTCAAACTAATTTTTTATGTTTTTTTTTTTTAAACATCATGCTTGTCAGTCACACAATTTCATATATACAATTACATAAAACCAATCACGAATTCCTCCTCACCTGAAATTAATAACTCCAAAAAACATTTACACTTTTAACAATTAACTCACGCATCACACCCGTGTTTGTCTCTGTTTGTCCTCAGCAGTTTATGAATCCTTCGGTGTTTTCACAGCATGGTGGCGCAAATCTGGCCGCCGCGGCCGCCAACGTGGCCAACGTTGCCACCGCCGCCTTCACCCCTCAGAACATTCCTCAGCAGCCCCAGCAGCAACCACCCTTCCAACATCGCTACCCCTTCACCCCCGAAAACTACGCTCCCCAGGGCTACTCCCCTTACGGAGGCGGCTACGCACCACCCCAGCCCTATTACTACCCCCCAGCTGTGCCCAACCCTGCCTACTACCAGTACCAGCAGAATCCGTTCGCCGCTTTCTACAACCCTCGTACCTCAGTAAGTACAATTTCTCCTTTTATTTTTTTATCCACTTTTATATATTATATTATTTTTTCATTAAAATAATTATGTTGTTGAAAAAAATTTTAATTAATAATTATAATTTTAATATTAGAATTATATGTAACTATTTTAATATTTTAAGCAAATTAAAAAGATTTAATTGATATTTAACTCTAAATAATAAATTTAAATTTTCATACTTATCATTTGTAGCCTAAGACCAAATTAACGTGATATATAGTTCCTCGAATTGTCCAGTGTTACTATTTTATAAACTTATATATCCAGTTTTTTATTACATCAATATTAATATAATTTATCGAGAAAAAACTTGCAGCTCCTTCACTGGACGTAGAACATGCAAACTGCAAACTAATTGTCTTGACCCCTTCAGAGGGCATTATTAGTGGCATTTTTATTATTATTATTTTTGACTTAATAACGCAATGATTAGAACTTTGAACAATACAAAATAAATATTATGATTCTAAGCTTACAAAATTTAAACTGTAAGTAATTTGCAAACGCGTTTTTTTCTTGTCTCCTCTGTAAAAGACCAATTTTATTAGCAGTTTCATTAATTTAATAAGTTTTATTCTTTTTTTACGATTTTTTTATCATGATTCTTAATTTTGATTTATATCCCCTGGATTTTCAAGCTGAGAATCGAGTTGTACCAATTAAATGGCGGAATTTCTTGCACACACGCTGTGTGCCTGCCCTACATAAACGGCGTCAAATATTTGACTTGGACACAATCCAAGATATTTCTCCGCATGATTTCAAACGCCATAAATGTGCCGCACGCGCGCGCTCATCGGTATAATTTTCAGCTCTTTGAGATCCGCTGCCGAGATAAATCTCACTCGCGCCTGCAAATATATAAAGCGAAACGGAGACGCGGAACTGGTTTTTTGTTGTCCTTTCGCGGCGATCACGGAGAACAGCCTATTATTTTATAATGCTATGTGCACTGCTTACTCATTTTTCCCAAAGAGTGACATGCATGGTACGGTATGTATAAAAAACACACACACGGTCACAAACGAATGCCACGAGCTTGGCACGATATTGCTTTTATATTCCTTTTTGCTCTTTAAGCACACAAATCGTAGGAAGAGAGAGATGGAAAGGAGCGGCCGTGCATTATTGCTTTTAGTTCTAAAATAATGCTCTCTGAATTCAATTTAAACAAAAGCACTCAAACTCAATTAAACTATCCACTTCAGTCAAAGTTCCTTGTAAAATAGTTTAAATACTATAAACTACAAGCAAAACAAAAATTAAATTTAAATATTTTTTAATTATAAAAATAAAGTATGCTTTATTTTTTATTTAAAAGTTTGCATTTATTTTTTAAATTTTTTTTTATAATTTATTTTTAAATTTAATATTTAGTTACTTATTAACTTATTTATTCAAATAATGTAATATTTAATAATTAATTTATTTATTGTTTATTTTATAAATAAAGCATTCAAGATCTTGTGAGCCAAAGTAAATTGAAGTTCAACAACTTCTTTTCTGTCTCTAATTCCAACTTGTTATTGATGTTATTCTTTATTCAACGCCTCATTCCTTAGTCAATCGTGAATCGTGACCCTTGACTTGGTGCACAATGACCCTTGGTTACATGTGTACGGTACAGCACTAACTCAACTCAGCGACTTGCATTCCATTCCGGGTGACTGAAACAAAGTGAGATAATTTATATTGAAAGCAAAAAGTCTGCTTACGAGAGAATAATGGCTCTGTTTACACTCAGCGGGTGTCAGAATGTTTTGCGAAAGCTGACCGGCTGCTTGAGCTGAATTACCGCGGACAATTTGGCAAATTGTTGTGGTGCTCATTTTTTTTTGCAGTGTGCCGCGATAATTTAATAATAACAAGGGAAAACATGTATCAGAGAATCATCCCGTTAGTGTAATTTTTCTTCATTAAATAGAAGTTTGATAATTTTTTTCAATATCATTTTGCTATTTAACGATTTATATCAAAATTTTCATATTTCATTTCTTTATTAACCAAAAATTATTGAATATGCGACTTTTGAATCTGCGGGTCATACAACTTTTGGAATGGTTCAATGACCTTTAAATAGAGAACGATTACCTACAAATCCAATTTCGTTAGGCTCAATAATAAACGCCAATCCAAAAAAAGAAAGCAGCGTAAAATCCAAAATTACTTTATCATTTTTGGTGGCGTGTATAATTCGAACGGCCGACACAAGTCCCACGCTGGATAATCGGCGCTGAAAAATCATCTGAGAAATTCTTCCTACGCGGAACTGTCCATCAGACATGGACATCATCAAATCCAAATCAGTAACGCTTTAATTGAATATATATAAATTATCAACGCTTCCGAGAGTGCAAAAATTGAATTATTTCCATTGCGATAATATGCAAACGCGCGTTGCGGACTTGAGAATGACGTTGCAAATTAATTCAACGTGCAAAGTGTAATAAAATTAAAATTACATTTGTGATCGTGTTTATTATACCAATACGGTTCTGCTTGATTTAGGCTTTTCATTTTCGGCCTGCTGAGCGGGAAGAGCTAGAACATCTCGTTAACCCGAACCAGCCGAGAAAAGTGCTTTGTTAGTTACAGCTTCTTGCTCGTTACGCTGCTCATGCACAACTTTTTGTATCACTCCCTGTCCGTAATTCGTCCGGCGGCCCTTTTTGATTTCTATTTTCCACACATAGTCCACAGAAGGAGCTTGGAATCTAGTTCTCCTTCTCCTGTCACGCCGCATTAAAAATTATGACTCCTTCGAATCTTCGAATAAAAAATTGTGGAAAATTATCAAGTGAGCTTTATTATATTTTTCTATCTGCAAAAGATCCAAGGCAGAAAAGAGAAAAGAAAGAGCTTTATCAATTTAGAATTTGATGCAACAGCAAAAAAGAAATGCACGAAGTAGAGATTTTGTCTGCTCTTCCGGTTTTATCTTGATTTCAATAATTCATTGTTGCCTCTAACTCGCATGGAGAACTGTTATGTTTGCGGATGGAATCGTGCGTTTTGCTGAAAAATTGTGCCAAAAATATGTGTTAATGAAAGCATTGTTTTTGAAAAGAGAGTACCTTGGCACACATTGAAAGACGTACAAGAGAATTCATTTACCATGACAAAGAAGAAAATATTAAATATAAACTAGTTTCCGGCAATGTTTTCAAAAGATTAAGGTGGCACATGTTATTAATTAATTTTTAAGAGGAGATTTGTACTTATTTAAAATTTACATTTTAAAATAGCAAAATTATAGCTTATAAATTGGGAAATTTTTGTCATTTACTTTGGACACTTTAGAAAAGAACAAATATAAACTCACAAAATTCAAATCATTGGGATCATTTTAATCGTTGTAAGTTAAAAAAAATTATTTTCTTAATTTGGGCTCAGTAAAATCTTTATTTGTTGTTATTGGTATATATTTTTAAAATATTTTTTAATTTGATTTAATTTTTTTATATTATTTTTTATAATTTAGTTTTAAATTTAATATTTACTTACTTATTAATTTATTTATTTGAATAATAATGTATTATTAAATAATTAATTTATTTATTGTTTATTTTATAAAAAAGCATTCAAGATCTAGTGAGCAAAAGTAATTTGAAGTTCAACTTAATTTTCTCTCTTTGCCATTTTGATTTCTATATTCAATGCCTCATTCCTTAGTCAATCGTGACCCTTGACTTGGTGCACAATGACCCTTGGTTACAAGTGTACGGTACAGCACTAACTCAACTCGGCGACTTGCATTCCATTCCGGGTGACTGAAACAAAGATTAAGGCGGCACCACACTAATTACAAATTATTAATTATTTTTTAAGATTAAATTTGTACTTATTTAAATTTCACATTTTAAAATAGCAAAATTATAGCTCATAAATTGGGAAATTTTTATCATTTCCTTGGACACTTTAGAAAAGAACAAATATTAACACACAAAATTCAAATCATTGGGACCATTTTGATCGTCGTAAGTTAAAAAAATTATTCTCTTAATTTGGGCTCAGTAAAATCTTTATTCCTTGTTATTAGTAATATATTTTTAAAATATTTTTTTAAAGTGCATTGGCCGAGGTGCACAAAAAAAAATGAAAAAACGCAGTTCCCATCTCTGGCGGCAAACAAAGCAAAACCGGATTCTTTTCTTTTGCCGCGTCCAACGTTTCATCTTCACAACGAAAAGACCTTTTACAGCAAAAACTCCTTTTTTGTCCCGATGAATCAAAGGCAAGTTTCTGCTGGGAAACCAACGCGTGTGAGAAAAGTGTTAATTGGCGATATTTACGGACGAGATGAGTTTCAATGTCTCCGCAGACTGCCCGTTACAAACGTGTTTATAAACAATATATTATGAATTCTGAGTCAGAGTCTAGCTCGTGCGAAGTGAAGCGGCTGAACGGTTCTCAAAGAATATAAAATAATAGCGGTTAGTCAGCACGATTAGAAGCTCAATTAAATGGGGCTCTGCATAAATCACGCGCCTTTTATTTTAATTGCGATGCTAATAAAGTACTGCCAATGATTTATATCAAATTGAATCTGTATTGAGCTCAGCGTGAACTCAAAACCAATGCATTGTTTGATAAACGTTCCTATTTTCCAAGAGCAGCAGGGGCAGCTATTGCGATTCAAATGGTTACAATTAAATTTAATTGCACACCACTGTTGCTAATTGAATTCTCGAGAGAGATATTCAATTCATCGAGTCGGTGGATAAATTAAAATAGGTTTCCACGCTTAATTATTACCCAACGCAATATTATAATTAAGAACAGTTAAAAGCTTAATTGAGGTTATGCAAAGTATGCATGTGTTTTCATCAATTAATTAGGATTTTTTTTAAATTAGATCTTTACTTGGGAAATTTTTTTGTATTAAAAATGTATTATTTCTAAAATAATAGAAATAAATTCAACTTAATTAATATATTTTATTTTCCATGTGCAGAGGGACATGGATTTCCGCAGCAGTGGCAACTCGTACGCAAAGTCCCGCAACATCACCTGTGTGATGCAAGAGCTCGGTTATGTAAGTTTAAAAAGACAAGCCGCCGACCAAGGCAATAATTCGATTCTTCTTCAGCTCGACGCCAACCTGCAGCCCAATTTCTCCGGAATCGTCTCCAGAATCCAGCGCCTTCCTCTTCCTGCTGAGCTCAAGAGCGACATGACTGACGCCGTTCACTTCTGCCAGAAGTTCTCAGTAATATAATTAAAAATTATCAGAATTATTATAAATTAAAAATATTTAATTATAGCAATGTGTGCCCGAGCCGGACGAGACCAAGATGCAGGTTTCTGCCGAATTCACCAAGCCCATGCTCTTCTTCAAGTGTTATAAGGTAAATAATTATAAAAAAATTTAATTTTTTTATTTTAATTTTTAAATTTTAAACAGCAAAAGAAGCTTGAGGCTTGCGTGCTGAAGGACGTGCGCGAGCGATTCCTTTTGGCCAGCGCGCCCAGCACGGCCGGCGACCCTGAGATTCCGGACCACAACACCCTGGAAGAGGAGGAGAGCAGCGGCATTCGCGGCACTTTCAGGGGTCGCGCTGGCAGGATAATGCGGAAGTGGAGCAAGGCGAACAAGGCCAGCAGCGCCGCCACCATGTCCGACCTGTCCGACGTCATTTTCGGAGATGCCTCCCTTGCCTTGTGAACAAATGCGATTCTCGGCCCTCCGGAATTTTGACGATTTTGTTTAAAAAAAATTATGAAACTCCTGCTGGGCTGGAAGCCGCACTCAAACAAAATGGACTTTACAGAATGAATGGAAATGGATAATGAAAATGGACTGAACAGCATTAAATATAAATAATTCTATGCAAAAATTGAAATTTGCGTGAAATTGGGCAGGTGACGGGACTTGATGAGCTCTTGAGGAGAAATACTGCTGGTTGCCAACTGTGCCTTTTCTTATCTACAATATTTATTTTTAATGTCTACTTATTTATTTAATAATTTATTTACTATTGTTTCGTGAATGCTGTTCAATTTTAATTTATTTAAGTTCAAAAAGTATGTTTTGTGTCAAAGAGAGTTAATAGTTTATCAACAACTGTATTTTATTTTAGACAATTTGCAGAAATCGCAAGTAATTAAAATTAGCTGGTAGCGCTGTCAAAATAAAAATCTTAATTATATTAAACATTATTTTGGAATTTAATTTTTTTTTTAAATCCTCATACAGTTCGAATAAGAAATATATTGAGATACAGTCTTTTTGCTGCTAGCAGGTTGCACACTTCTTGATGGCTTGGTTGACTTCCTCGTGGAGTTTTCTAGCCGACTTAGCTTCTTCTTCTCAAGCGCAAGAATTTCTGCTGGCGGCTTCTCTCTGGCCAGGAAGTAGAACAACTTTGCCATACCGTGCATTTCTCCAGGAGTTTCCCCTACGAAGGAAAACCATTATTATATGATCAATATATTAAATGCTGAGTATTACTGCTCTTAATGGAAATGGGAATCCAATTTAAGGCCAGAGTAAACGGTGACTCCATTGAGATCATCGAAAAGGCCAGCAGCGCACTTGGCCTGGATGTGCAGGGGAAGTCTTGACACAAGTGGACATCCTTCATTGAATGGGTAGTTAACCCATTCAATGGAATCTGCGTCCCATGAAAGTTTGCTCAATATTTTCACAAGTCGGTCGTGTTCTGAAAAAAGAATTATAATTTGACTTTAAAATTCATCAATTAGCTGATGCTTTTATAATTAAAATAGGTAGCGAATGAAGAAGAATGGGGCCTTACGGGCCCCCCTTCTTCTTGACATTGAACCCTTTCAGGCCCAATCCCTCATTTGACTTGAGCAGGACAGGCGCGAAACCCATCTTATTTGAAGCAAGATTGACCAAACTAAAGATTTTTTTTTTTATAAAAAATTAATTCTTTTTAAAATTATCAATTGGAAATAAAACGATGGTCATCAAAGTTCAAATCGATATTTACCTTGGGTAGCAAAAGTTTTTCCTCGGCAGCAAAGTCGTCAGGAGGCTTTGAGAGTCCATCGATGGGGTCCATTGCAGATTTGCAGTCAGCTTCGTCAAAATTCGCGATCGCAATAAGAATTTTTCACGAAAAACTGGCAGATCAGGTTGCAACAATGGAAAAAGAATTCAAAATTCAAACGGTTAAATAAAAAAGCAATTGTTGGAGTTGGATTTCTGCCATGACGTCGTGCAAGAATAGCGTGTGACTAGCAATAATTAATTTTTGCGCTCACTTACTTTTTTAAAGTTCTCGTCCTAATGAACTGTTCAAATTGTCATCTAGTTAATTGATTGACTGCGGCCGATGGGGTCTTTTTGATCTCTACAGTTTTTGCAAAATTCTGGCTAGTGGCGGTGCCGTGAACTCCTTTTTTTTTAAATAAATTGTATTCAACAATTGAATATAAACAATGTATTTATGTATTTGTAACAATTAATGTGGACAAATAAACAATAATAATGGAAATCGAATTTCATACAAAAAATTCTTGCGAATAAATTCTTGCGGAGTTTTTTAAGGAGGCTGCAAAAATTTGGTTAAAATTAATTAAATTAAAATTATTATTCTCGTTTGCTGCTTTTAAGTTGCTGTAGATCTTGGGTGACGTTGTAAATATTTAAATAATAGTTATAAATAATTCATAATAATTATTTAAATAACTACAGTTTAATTTAGCATGTTTAAAGTTAATAATATATTGAAAAAAAATAATTAATATAATTTTTTAATAAATAAAATATTAAAAATAACATCAATATAATAAATTATCATTTATTTAATAAATAATATTATATTTTTAGTGTGTTCAAATATTTTGCAATTAATTTTCACTGACTTGTCCGACGTCATTTTTCGGAGATGCCTCCCTTACCTTGTGAACAAATGCGATTTTCGACCCTCCGGAATTTTGACGATTTTGTTTAAAAAAAGTTAAAAAACTCCTGGGCTTGAAACCGCACTCAAACAAAATGGACTTAACAGAATGAATGGAAATGGATAATGAAAATGGACTGAACAGCATTAAATATAAATAATTCTTTGCAAAAATTGGGCAGGTGAGGGGACTTGAGCTCTTGAGGAGAAATACTGCTGGTTGCCAACTGTGCCTTTTCTTATCTACAATATTTATTTGTGTGTAACGGCTACTTATTTATTTAATAATTTATTTGATCTTACTTTGTGAATGCTGTTCAATTTTAATTTATTTAAGTTCAAAAAGTATGTTATGTGTCAAAGAGAGGTAGCTTATCAACAATTTTATTTTATTTTAGACAATTTGCAAGTAATTAAAATTAGCTGCTAGTGCTGTCAAAAGTTTAATTTTATTCAATATTATTTTTAAATCCTTATAAAATTTGAATAAGAATTATAATGTGAAATGGTTCAGGATGCGAATACAATAAAAGCAATTCAATTTTAACTCTAACAATTTGGCAAGTGTCTTTGCAGAGATTTCCAGTAAAATTTATCTCTAATTCACCAATCTTCCTTCAGTAAAGTCAGAATGAAATACTATTTTGTTCGTCTACATGGAATTAAGTGAAGAAAATGGACTTTCTAAAATTTATGACTATGTACTGATTTCTATATACGAAAGCCACAAAAACACAGAATCTTTTCCATAAACTTTCAAATATAAAGTGGAAATTTAAGCACTAATGAAAAAAATTATTAATTACATTAGTTAGTAAATATTGAATGTTTATACAAAATGTATAATTAAGTTGAAAATCCGCTAAAAATCATAGATGAGAATTATGTTGAGGTCTCTCCTCCAGCAGTTGCTTCAACGCATCCTTGGTGTCCAGCAGGAGCACCCGGAGCACCTCAAGCACCTTTCTCTCTTCCTTCCATTTCGTTTCCGACGCCTCGAGCCGCTGTTCCGGTGCTTTTTTTTATTTTTTTTTTTTTTTTTTTTTTTTTTTTTTAGGGTCAGGCCAAGACAAATTCTTGTCGGCCTGTGCCCTTTATTGGTGGTACAGAAGGCACCACCCAATTAATTTTTAATTTTTTTTTTTTTTTTTTTGGGTTCAACTTTATTTAAAAAATCATCATTTTTTGCTGGCATATCCTTGTCCGCGGTCTCTCTCAGATAGACGTGCTTCTCCTCAAGCAGTTGCTTCGACATATCCTTGGCTTCCTCCAGGAGCACCTCAAGCACCTGTATTTCTTCCTTCCATTTGTTTGGGTTGCTGTAGATCTTGGGTGACGTTGTACATATTTAAATAATAATAATTATTATAAATAATATATAGTAATTATTTCAATATCTACAGTTTAATTAAGTATGTTCAAAGTTAAAAATATATTTAAAAAAATAAAATAAAAAATATAATTTTTTAATAAATAAAATATTAAAATAATATGAATATAATAAATGAATATATATTTAAATAATATTACATATTTATTAAAATGTGTTTAAGTATTCTAAACTAAGATTTTTTTAAATTTAGTTTAATTTTTTCACACGCATTTCGCGCGCTCACTCATTATTGGCCAATAATGACGAATTCACTAAGTGGGCAGATAATGCAGATGTTCAAGCAATTGTTCAATTTGACCAGTTCCGATTCAGAGGTGGGCGCGGCAGCCAAAAGGTAAACAAGTGTGTCGGACAAAATGCAAAAGTTATTCGCGATCACGGATTTGCAATTCAAACTGCGACGGTTCAGTGTTTAAGGCCTGCTTATTGACATCTACAACCCCTGTTTGCGGCAAATCGGCCCGAAATTTTTGGACCCAGATTTTTTTATAGATTCCTACCTATCAGTAGAGTTGATTGCACAAAGAAAAATGGGGGGTAGCGCCGATTATTCTTAAAATATGATTTTTTGAATTTTTACATTGCGTCTTATGGAAATTTTTGTTTTTGATGATTAAAAAAAAACTGCCCGAAATTTTTCGCTCAAAATTACACAAAATGATAAGCGAATGACCCTAAACAGATAAGCAGAAAAAAATTTGAGGGTTCATGGGGCAAAAAATTAACATTGGGCATATGTGCGATCAAAAAAAACCTCTTTGGTACTCTTAGCATTGCAATAAGGAGTCCTTAATTGCAAGAGGACCAAGTTTGTGACAACATCAGGGGCATCATCAGCACAGGGCTTTTGGATTTTGGCCGCTGGAATCTTCTCTTCAGGTGGATTTGGTCGATTCTTCAGACAGTTCAGGCGCAGGAAGGAATTTCAGGTTAGTCGAATTTTTTAAATGTGTCTCATTGATTTCTACGTTTTTTACGCCTGAAGCTGAATAATTTGAAAGGACAAAATCTGCAGCTGAATTATGGTGATCATGAAAGAGAATATGCATCCAAAAATCTATGTAAACGAACGTTTTTCGATAATTTTTTATGACTTTTGCGAATTTCTCACCATGAAAGCACTTTTCCGGTTCACTTCAAAAATGCCACCGATGAAAAAATTTATGTTTAATGTATGCAAAAGTTCCTCTCTGAACATTCGCACCTAAAAGTCAACATTTGAGCATAATTTACTGAAATTTAGTGTTTTTTTTTCTTCTTACCTTCTCTAAAACTTCTCCATCTCTGCAATTAAGCTCCAAATTAAGAAGAGCGTATTTAGTGCGCTTACACTGAAGTAATTAGTTAATTTTATCATCGAAAATATTTTAAATCAATTTATTTGAACCTCGAGGGAAGCCTTCTCGCACTTCCACACTAGGTTGCCGACGCCGAATAGACCTATCGGCAGCCAGAGGATGTTAAATATTATGTTATCAACTTTGAGTTTTATCCGAAAATTATCTTCCAAGTCGTATAACGATATGACCAAGCAGAAGAGCGTGAAACAAAAATCCAAAATCCAGAAAATCAGGCTCAGAAGCAAATTCGTCGAGAAAAACTCGTTCAGGTTCCAGAGAAGATGGCGAACTTGAGTGTGTTGCTCTCTCAAATTTTCCACCGTTTTGATTGCTTGATTAGGCTCCAACAACTTGCAATTCTGTCATGAAATTAATTCAATCAAAATTAGAAAAAATTTTTTAATATCATCCAAACCAAAATTATCGTATTCATTTCAGCACAGATGATCTCCATTGCTTTTGCAAAAAGGGAAAACAGAATGAAAAAAGAAGTCGTGGTCAAGGAGCACCACAAGAGACAAGCTGTCGTGTTAAGTGTATTCTGCTTTTTGCCGG